TTTGGATTAGTGACGCTTGAGGCTGTACCACCATAAATGGCTCTACTCTCCAGCTGTTGTCGCTGTCCGGTGGGTGAAAATTTCTCCCACTGATGCCAAGCGGAACAACTCAATACACTCGAAGACGAAACTCGTGGCCAAAAGAATCTCCCAGGCGGAGGTCTACACCCACTGGGAGCTTATCAGCTAATATTTTAGCTTAAGAGACCCTACAAAGAATAAAAATTCAAGGGGCCTGCCTTTAACAGCTCATGCTGATCGCCACTGAAGAACTCCTTCACAAGACGGCTAGCTGCTTAAAACAAAAAAACAAAAAACCCCAACTACTTAAAAACATTTTTTTTTTTCTAGATGAGTAGGAATAATGGAAAAGGTGTTAAACATCATTCAGACTATGTTTTTCCCCTCCCAATTCCTGAAATAGTTTCTAGTGTAAATACTTTGAGCAGTTCCCACCAGCATAGAGGATTTAGCACTCCTCCTCGAGAGGCTCTGCTAGCTCAGGCTTTCTGCGCGAGAGCACGCTGTTATCTTATAAATAAGCAGCAGTGCCCTGCGGTGCCCCTCCGCAATGAAAACACACGCTCCTAAGAAGTAAGAGTAACAGTTCAACACCACAGTAAAGAAGAAAAACAGCAAACGGCACGCAATTAACTCTTTCTGATGACGGAGGGCCACAGGACGCAAAGGTAACCTTGCTTACTAAAACCAATGGGAACGCTGCCGGCTTTCCGAACCATTTCCAGGAGCTCTGGTTATTACCATACTGGTTATCATCGCTTCCCATGCCTCACGAGGGATTGATAAATAGCAAGCGTGGCCCATGTTCAAAGCAGCTGCCCAACTCACTGCCATCTGCGTGGACCACGACAGCGAAGGTTGAAGGTTGCAGGTTGCGCGAGCTAAGGGAATAGCTTTCTCAGGGGGGCCTCAAGAGAAAACAAAAAAGCCTGGAAATACAGCGCGCCTGGCTGCCCGCGCGTCAGCTCGAATTAACGTGGGAAGGGCTGCAGGGCCCCCGCTGCCCAGCTCTCCCAAGGAGCTGCCTTTCTCCAGCTCTGGGGAAGAGGAGCAGGGCTGGTGAAACCAGCCCCAGCAGCGACCGCCTGTCACCTCCTCCCGCGTCATCTGCAAAGCTGGCGACCTTCTTTGGGACCTTTAGAGTGAAGGAAAAAAAAAAAAAAAAAAAAGCTGGTCCAAGGTGGTTCCAAAAACAGCCAAAACCGGTGCTGTTTTTGGTAAGATCTAGAAGTGGTTCGGATGTTCAGGAATGGTTATTCCTCAGACTTGACCAATGCAAAGCAGAAGAAAAATGGTAGGATGGGTCCAGTTTTAAAAGGAAAAAAGCACAAAGGGACACTTCACTGTGTGGGAGGAGAAAGGGGGAAAGAGCAGCAAAACTTCCAGTTGTCTCCCGGACACCCTGCCCTGGAGGAGGACATTCCCTGCAGGAAGAGATTCTGCATTTAAGGATGTTGAGCTGCACAACTGAGGTTTACAGCAAAAAATAGGACCTGAATTGGGGCCTGAGCAATGTCCCTACGTAGAGCAATCTGCGCAGGAAGGGTGAGAACTTGCCAGCGCTCCTACATTTGCTACTAATTTGTAGAACTGGGGATCAATAATTGCCATAAATTTATATTTTGGAAATAAACTGACTTCAGTTGCATCAATCTCTGAAACAACTGCACCCACCGAGCTTTAACTTGAAGGAAACCTTTGGAAAATGCTAGCTTGACAGGCTAGGAGAGTACCTCGCACTGCTTAACTATAAAAGCCCTACATATATTTCATGTTTAATATGATTCCACATACACGCTAAAAATCTCCTTCTATAGCGCTTCATCAGTAGTTTCAGTATGTGGATGCAGCGAGTTTCATTCACTCTATTCCCTGTATTTTAGTACCTGGCAGATTTTCAGTCCAAACGCTACATTTAATTTATTGCTCTATATGATAATTCCATAAAGTTCCTTTCTCAGCTGGTGTATGAGAATCACCTTTATCTTTGAAATTCCTTGCCATTGCCAGTAACAAGTGATCCATTTTTGAACACCGGTTACTGTCCTTTAAGCCTACGAGATCACAACCTGAGGGTACAAGAAAGGGTCTGTCGTCACAGGCCAGCAGTTAGCGCTGGTGAGACGGGACTGCCCGAGCGGAAGAAAGAGGCTCCTGAAATACTAACGCCTAATAACTATCTGCAGAGGACAGGGAACCAAATTCACAAACGTAAAGAGATTTCTTCTTATCTTTATGCACGAGCCTGAAAATTCACCCATCAGTCCTCGCTCTTACCATGTTCAGGACCAGGCATAAAGAAGCTGAAGCCACAACTGCGGTGGCAGCTTATTTTACTAATTTCTAATGGTCTGAGGTCTTGGCTACCCCTGGAATTATCCTGCACACAGATGCTGTAAATAGCTGCATAAAAACAATGCAACTGTGTCCAGATTGTTATGTTAAGAGGAGATGTAAAAGTAATGGCTAAGGGTGCTTCATGCATGGAACTGATTTTAAAACACCCTCAAACTAATACTGGGGTGAGGAAAGAGGAGCATCTTTAATAAAGAATGCTGATTCAGGGCTTTATTTTTATTAAGTGATTTACGATGTCATTACTGCGTTTCTATGCAGAGCAGTGGCTCAGAGTAATTACCTTGTAATGTATGATGACACTAATGTACTAGTAAACTACTGGAGTTTATCCTCTGTTCAGGATTTGCGTCAGGACACTGAGAGGTAGGTAAAAATGCACCGCGTGCATAAACAACGTGGGTAAATGTCACTGGTGATAAAATTTTTGAAAAGGAGAAGGAAGAAGCCGTTACAAATAAATCTGCCAGCTGAGAACTGCAGCTGCATAGACCCACAGCAGCGCTGAACCTGCATCATTTTTAACATGGGAAGCCAAGACCCTTTTATATTCCTAGCATGGCTCCCTTCCCTTTTATAATAATTAAAATGGCAAGGTGGCTGCCACTCTTCTTCTTGCCACAGTAAGTGCAACACTGCTCTGTACCCGATGATCACTCTTTGGTGATGCATTGGAAAAGTAAGGTGGTAGGAAGGACCAGAGAGGACATGGATAACACTACACTTAGGTCTTTATAGCAGACTGCATCTCAAAGTTCTTCCAAATAGTCAGGAATCTCATTTTACAGAGGACGAAACAGCCTCAGGGAGATCAAATGGCTGGTTCAAGAGTTCCCTGACATTAGTGGGTTAATGAAAGCTGTCCTAAAATAGCACTCTCTACAGTCCCAGCTACAGGAATCATGTAGAATCAACAGTGATAGCTTAAGGGTAGAGGTGGTTTTGCATTCCTTACTCAAAATAGCCCTCACACTTAAGGGATAAAGCTTGGAACAGGCCCTGAGCGTGTTGTAAAGCACCAGAAACGGTAAGCGAAAAAACCTCACATTCCTCCTTCATGTTGAAAAAAAAAAAAAACAAAAACAGAAGTCACAATTACTGCAACACCCTCATGGATTTTGTGCGCTGTGGCTGGAAATACAGCAGCAGAACCACAACTACAGCTCCACTGGGGCCAGAGGTAAGCCTTCCTCTTTCCCCAGGAGACGATACCAATTACCCCACTTCTGAACATACCCAGGCCATAGGCACCAGCTAACGGACTGACACCTGTCAGAGCGAGCGTCCTCTCTAGAAGCAGCAGCCGTCAATCCCAAATCTCAGGGTAATTCACCCAGAGCAGAATGGAGGTTACGGACGGAGTACTCTAAACTGTAAGGACATTGTATATGACCAGCCCCACTTGCCAAAGACCAGCTTTGGAGGGAGAGGAATGAGAACCAGCACTGCTGTGCCCATGCGCCGCCACCCACAGCATGCTCCACCTCGCACGGAGGCAAGAGGGATCACCGAGGAATAACCACGCTGAGATTGCTTCTGTACACTAAGTCATGAGTCCTTAGTTTTTGTTAACGTACCAGCTAAGAACAAGGTGCATTCGCACTTACAAGGAGAAAAACCAGTAGATGTTTACTTGATCACGTTTCAGATGAAGCCACGTGGAAAAGCTCACTCTAAATGAAGGGAGCCTTCCAGACCAAGAGCATTAACAATATGCTTTCAGTTAGCCTACAAAGTCCTCGGGCCGCTTTGAGGAGCAGGGATACGTTTGCAGTCGCAGCTGCAACTCCCCGACATGTTCTTCTGTCTCTCAAGAGCATTAGAGGTGGACAGAGAAGTGAGGTAGAGAAGATAGCTTTATTCAAGTTATGTAATGATAGCGTGCCTATTCAGACGAACCTTGCGTTAACACGTTCTGTTTTTCAACCACGAACATCTACGCATGCGTGCATGCACACACACAGCTTTACAGCGATAGACAGAAAAGTAACAGCCACTAGAAGGAAAAGCCCCATCATTTGGATGTCCTACCTGAAGGGGGACAACCTAATCAACAGCAGCAAAGTGACGTCTAAGAAGTCTGCGCCAGTACGGATCCATGCTCTGGGGGGCTTGCCCAACCTCCCAAGGCATGGGGGAAAACACCAGGGTTCACCACATCTCCCCAGGCAGGGGAAGACCCTCCACATCAGGCTGAGAAATCAAGGGCACATGGCCATATCCCATTATTTTCACAAGTCAGCTGAGGCACCTGTCTTAGCAGGGCTAGTTTTCTAGACTCACTCCATACTTAGTGGCTACCAAGACCATCTCCCAAGGTCAATCCAGCTCACCTAAAATTTCAGTCATCCTGTGGAGTCAGCATCTCTCCACTGACTCTAGCAAAAGCCAAGGGCAAGGGCAATGCGGACTGAATCCAGGCCTGAACCCCCCACACGACCATTTCTGTACCGTTGCACAGCCAACTCTCCTACAACTCTCCTAGTGGACTTCATTTGCTCCAGTTGGTGTCCTTGGATGGCGCGCAGTACCTCTTCCACGGAGGCTTTAGGAACAACCGAAATGCACTCACGCCCACGGCTGTTTGGCAACGCACATACGTGGAGGCTGCATCACTGACTCACCCTTGGACGACGGTCTCTCCAGGTCCGAATCGAGGTGGATTGGTGGGGCAATATAGGAAACTTGCCCATGGTGAGCCTGCCCTGTGGACAAATAAGTGTTTTAGTTTCCACTATTTCCTATTAAGAGCTATCAGGATTTACAGTTAAACATACTGCATTTTAAAGGCCCTGCATCAACACCAGGTCTGCAAGTATTTTGCTCTATTATGTATTTTTCATGTACACTGAAATTCAGAATGAAGATGAACTTCCTTTTTCTGGAGGCATCTGATTAAAAGTAGAAAACACTCCCATTTCTTTTGCTTTTTCCAAGCAGACGCTGATACGACGCTGAATTTTAGTGATACCTCTTTCACCATTTCCACCTTTCATAGCAAATTGTTCCATATGCCTTCTTCTCGTCACCAGTCTCACCTGATCGCCACCGTCTTGGAAAAACTGCGTACGCATTTTGTACGCTTTTCTCTTAAGAGGCCGCGTTGCACAGAAGACAACCTATTTCAAACTCCAGGTGACAAGCCTGTTCAATCTGTTCATCTGACTTTAACAGGGAAGGAAGCATTTCTGGGTTACAGCAATTTTTCAACAAAGTACAATATTAAGGACAACTGTACCTGTTTGCTCCACCTACAGAAGATACAGAGATCTGCACCTGAATGGAAGCTTTCCAGGTCGCAAGACTGTTGTGCAGTTTCTTAGTTTAGTGCTAAAGACCCAGTTCTTCTCTAGTGATCTGGAGGTAACCATACCGAGAAACTTTTATTTATAATAAAAGCATGTTGCTGTAATTCCTCTATTTACTGTAACAATTTCTGGGGTTGTTAATCTCTTTTTCTAAACAAGAAGAGTTAATGACACATAGACTACGATAACAGCTAGAGTAACCTTCTCGTTTCAAGTAATATTCGCGCGGCAATAAAAGCAGTTGATTCCTCTTATGAGGCACATTCCAAATAATTAATATGGCTCCCTGTTGACACTTGCTGCTGCTGCTCCAAGCAATTTCCAAGCTAGCGTCGCAGAGAGCGGAGAACCGGTACAGTCTTCAGGGTTCTTTGTAATGACATCCAGGAACACCATGAGCGCAGTACGCTGGCATGCATAATATGGTGAAAATAGCTCTTCAGGGGGATAAAATATTAATGGGAAAGGGGCGGGGGAAAGAAGTTTGCCTGAATGGACAGGATATATTTACTGCTTTACCCACCGAGGTTGACTCAGATAATTTGCATCATTAGCCATTACAACAACTGGACATTATTCAGGTTTAAAATCTAGCGGCACATCATGAATTCTATATTTGCTTTTAAGTGCTTTAATATGTGAAATCTTCTTCAGGCTAATAATGAGTTACCCTGCTTTCCCACTCTCGTTTACATGTTAAAAACCCATTTGATATCATTTGTAAACCCAAGTCATCATCTAATAGCTGCTCTGTTCTGCATTAGACACAAACAGACGGTCTACTCTCGCTCCAAGCTGGTCAAAGTGCAGGATCAGTGCCTCTGCCACCAAGAGACAGGACTCCTGTTCACAGTGTCACAGAGATCACAGACTCACAGAAGGGCTGAGGTTGGAAGAGATCTCTGGAGGTCGCCCAGTCCAACGTCCCTCCTCAAAGCAGGGTCACCTAGAGCAGGTTGCTCAGGGCTGTGTCCAGTTGACTTGTGGAAATCTCCAAGGGTGGAGACTCCACAACCTCTCTGGGCATCCCATCCCAGTGTCCGATCCTCCTTACATTAAAAAAAGAAAAGTGTTTTCTTATGTTTACCCAGAACTTCCTATATTTCAGCTTGTGCCTATCGCCTCTTGTCCTGTTGCTGGTTACCACTGAGAAGAGTCTGGCTCTGTCTTCTTTACCACCCCCCCCCACCCCACCGATATTTATATACATTGATAAGATCACCCCGAACCTTCTCTTCTGGACATGAAGCTTGGGCCACCCCCCCCCAGGTGACCCTCCTGGGGCAGGGGGGTTGGACTAGATGATCTCCAGAAGTGCCTTCCAACCTCAAGCGTTCTGTGATTCTCGAGGCTGAACACACTCAGCTCTCCCAGCCTCTCCTCACATGAGAGATGCTCCAGTCCCTTCGTCATCTTCACGGCCCCCCACTGGACCCAGTCCAGCCGGACATGTCTCATGTCCAGGGAAGCTCAGAACTGGACCCAGCACTCCAGATGTGGCCTCATCAGGGCTGAGTAGAGGCGAAGGATCACCTCTCTCAGCTTCTGGGCAGTGCTCTTCCTAACACAGCCCAAGAAGCTGTTGTCCACCTTTGCCACAAGGGCACATTGCTGGCTCATGGTTTTTGTTTTATTTTTTTTTTTTCCACCTGATCTTCTTGGGACCAGGTGATCCCAAATACTAAAACAAATGATTCCACAGGTTTAAAGGGTTACGTTGGGATAAAGAAGATACATGCACACCAACAGTATACACTACAAAACATTGGTGAGTTTGTTTAGACATTCATTAGGAGTCGGTCGTAGCTATGAAAGTTTACGAATGTTTTATAAAGCTTTTACCAAGTATGGAAGAAGTGGTAGTATCAAATATTCTGTTGCAATAAAGGTAGCAAGCTGCAGAAAGCTTTTACTTAGTGGCTGTTGATGCAAAACATACTACTCCACAAAAATATCAAACTTAATTCCTCTTGGAATGTATGGCTCTCACATTGCTAATAAATCAAATTTCACGTTTTAACATTCATATATATACAAAAAAGCAATGCAAACAATTATTGTGCTGCATCTTCTGGGCACAAACGCAAGTTAATCACTCTTCATAAAATGCAATTACTATTTGAGGACACTTGTCATTAGCTGCTTTGGCCAGCACTGGATTTGCCTCATCCGAGTCCTTCCGTCTCAGGAGGGACGTAAGCTCTCCATTGCTATCTGTAGCCCCAACTATCCGTTGAGGATCGAGAACCCTTGCAAACCCTCTTGGCTTATCAACAGAATCATGTTTTTTTCTTGGATTTAATATCCCTGGCAACAGCGACATCGAAAGCAGAGCTGAAGGAAATGATTCCTGGTAGCGAGACTCACACACAAATACATGCAGGAAACCCTCCATTCAGGAGGTCAAACTGGATGATCCCAGTAATGGAATCTCTCTTTCCAACAGCATTAAGAGTTTTGTGCCACCGACTCCATTAAAAGGTGGAAATTTACCCAATGAGCCTATGCAAGATTTTGAGGCTGACAGCATGGAGGCAGCTGAAGTCAGTCGCAAAGACTGACAGGACCCGTGTTGTACAGTGATGCCATTTCAACATGAATTTTTCAGTTTTGCGTGCTTCCTTTGAGTCCCAGATCCGGGAACTGAGCAACTTCAATTAAAGAAATGTCTCTAGTACTGGCTCCTGAAGAGAAACACTTGAAAAGAAGAACATGAAAGTCTCTTAAAAAAAACAACAACAAAAAAGAAAAAATAAAATTAAAAAAAAGCAGAAGCACTCAACAGCTCCGAAACTCAGGTTTCTTCTGCTCTTTTCCCAGCGTGTTCGACCTGACTTGACCCCTTTGGTAGCCCCCAGGAGCTGGTGCGGGCCTCTGTTGCTGACTGTGTGTGACCACCTCTCTGGCCGATGGACCCCAATCTATCCTTGCACATCCATTGCCCTGCAAGTCTATTTGAACGAGCCCTCAAAAAAACTAATATTGGGCTCCCCGCACAGGAACCCATGTCGGTAAGAGAGGAAACGGTCAATGTCATGCCTTCTCGATTGGTGCAGAACGCTCCAGAAACAACTGCACCTCTTTAAATAAGCGGCTCAGTTTTCAGTTATTAAAAAAAAAAAGAAAGAAAGAAACCACACATGCCTCTGATAAGATACCAAAGGTCGAGATGTCTTGGGTGCTGATGGAAAGTTGGGCATGTCTTGTCTTGACAGCTTGTGCTGCCTTCTCCAAAACCCACTCTGCCCATAACCATCTGGTGCCTCGGTAACCGGCGCTCAGGTAAAAACCTACACAGCAATCAAACGCAATCATCAAAGTAACGAGCGATAAAGTTGCCAGCTTTGTATCTCGACTCTTCAACCGGGCTCCTTTTCTGCTCACGCGACCTCCCTCAGTGGCCGCACGTAGCATCAGGATGGGCCGGAAAACACACACGTACTGCGGCCCACGAGGAAAGGCGGGTGCCCGTTTTGGTAGCAGCGGTTTTGGGGAGCAACATGTAGACTCGGCCTGGAGGCACGACCGTCCTCACATGAAAGAGATGGAGGTAATGTTTGCAGCTTAGAAACAGCATCTATCTGCCTCGCCATTGCTTTCAGGTCTGATACATGAAAGCTCTTAAAACCAAAACCTTACAGGAACAAAGCTACTGGTGTGCAACTGCTGCAGGAAACGCAATAGGATGGCCTGGGGTAACCTTTTTTTTTCTGTTTTTGTTTTTTTAAAGGGTTGTGATGCTTACAGAGGCAAAAGAAGCATCCCCACATCTTCAAAAACCTGCCCTGGAACGATTTAGCTGCCTACCCACTCCAGCATGTAAAACCGTATAAAAAAATCTGCAAATTGATGGACTAGCCAAGGAAACTACCGATAGAGCAGACTCGTTCAGCCATCCATTAAAAAAAAAAACCCCTTCGCCCCACTTCTTCTGGAAAAGATGGTGTCCGCCATGCGTAGTACCACGTAGCAGCACAGACCACGCTCCTGACTGTACTCCACGTTTCCTGCTCCCGTGGCTTTTGCTTTTTGGGAGCACGACTCCTGCGGTCCCCCTTTCTACCTGCCCCTTGCACGTTTTCTCCCTGAAGTTTTCTGGTGGACCCATACGGAGAACACCCGCGCAGTAAGCAGAAGCGGCTCAGCGGCGGCGCAGGGGACCGCGTGCGGCTCTTTGGACTCGCAAGCCAGCACCCTGGCAGCCCCCTTTTTTGTAACGACGGAAGGGGGCACGGACTAGTTAATCTCAATACACGGTCCAGGAAAAAGGTCTCAGAAAACATAGCAGCCACCTTACCAAAACCTTTCCGTACAAAGCCTGCCTCATACGCCTGTTTCCCCCAACTGAACTATTCCATTTTCAAAAGCAAAACCCAATGTGTCTGGGACGATCTGAT